TCTTCCCATCACTGAAAATGCAGTTTTGGATTATGGCACCTTTGCCTTCTCTGGCGTTTGTTAAGGATAGTATGCCAAATTTTTAGTGCTTTTCATGTAGGGTTAGATTGGACACCTCCGATTTGGTCTGCACTAACAATTTTCTCTAAATGCTTCTGAATTGCTTAGATCTTGATAAGAAATAACATGCTCCCAAGAGAGAAATACCAATGGACCCCCGTTCACCACTGTAGCAGTGCTACTTCTAATTGCGTTCTTTCGTCCAACGTGTGTTGTGTTATGGTCGCAAGTGATTTATTGACCAATATTTTCGTGCCACAAATGCTACGGGAGCTTATAAAGATATATCTAGTGCAAAATTATGTGCCTGCATGAGGCACTTATCATGCCAATTCAACGAACCTTTATCCTATGACTTTGATTTCTCCCATTTCATGTTTAATATAGTGACTCTTTCAGGAACCCACTTTGATTATTGAAATATGTCGTCCGAACTTTTTAAATGGCGTAATTTTTATTTAGAGTCCAGGCTCAGCAGTGCTTGCTGCGTAACCCCTGAACCCAACTATTTCATTATAAAATTAAAGGTCAGTGGCAAAATTGGGTGGCGGAAGTTTAATTTGCCACAAAACTCGGCACGGTCTACCCTGCCCTTTGACGCCATCTGACCTCTAAGCGCGGTTGTGGGAAACAGTGTGTACTTGGAAACTCAGTGCGTTGTAATGTGGTCCTTACAAAGCAGACATATACGAGTGACATATTGCATGCTCTTGTGGCGCACTAGTTTAAAACTTCCACCATAACACTTCTAGGCTTCTCCGCAAACGGCATACGTCGCCCACTTCGCCTTTCACAGTCATTTCTTCTGACGACATTCGTGCTAGTGGTGCGGCTTTCAAGTCCGCAGGCCCACAAATTGCGGATAAAAGAACTTAATAGAGGTGCTACTGGCCTGTAACAGCTGTCGACAACATGTAGCAGATTTCACCGTTGTCCGCTGCTACCAACAAAAGCTACCACTTGTTAGCCCTTTTCACCAGAGCTTTGCGGTCTTTCTGATATTACTGCGCCTCTACTTAATGCCCACAAATGACCGAGTGCATTCTGACCACCACACGTCAGGAGTGTCAAAGGCCTGCTTGTTGGTGTTCGTAGAAAGCGTTTCTCTTAATCACAACGACTGTTCGCCAGTTTTGATCGAGATCGGCGTGCAATTCTCCTGCACATTTGCGGAGGCTGCGATGAATATCGTACATGAATGTCTTCCGTGCGCCAGGATAGCTTATTCCATAAATGGAATCCGAGGCCACAAAGACAGAAAAAAATATAGTGCTGTGGCGCAATGCTGACTGCGTAATTTAAGCTAGAAAATAGTTAACATAATTGCTGCTTGTTTACTGTGTTATTGTTGCTGTTTGTATTTTCTTAACACTGCAGTGCTTTCCGTGGTGCTCTTTTTTAGACATACTGGTCATAAGATTTCACCAGAGAATGTTTTGAAATATGCCCCAAAGGTAACCACTCCTTTCAAGAACATCGATGTGGTATCTATGCGGTTGTGCTTTATTGTCTCACTCGTGTTTGCATAGCATGTGCATGCGAAATAAATCCATCATAGATGCTTTCGAGTAGGTAAATCCGCGTTTGGGTGAAGTCTACTTCTTTTCACCTTGCCTTCGGCCAGCCTCACAAAAACGGGCCGAGCCCGCCGCATTGCCGAGGACAAAGACAGTCACGTTGGGGAGTCTCAGATATGCGACATGTCAGCGGCCCCCGTCCGTCTGACACCTTCAGCGAACCCTTAGCGACACGACGCGGTTTGTTTTTGCTCAGGCGGCTAATGGGAAAGTACCCAACCCGCTCACTATCGGGTGAGATCTGTCTTTTCATCAGAGTCGGCCTCTCCGCTGAGAGAGTCCGCCTTGGAACCCTCAAATAACAACAACAAAACTTTAGCGGATCACCTGTCAAGATGGTCAGATTCAGATTTTACTCATAAATGAGAACATCTCAGCATCGATAATTTCCTTTTGTGGTGCCAACTTTTATTTGTGATGCACTTGCACTTTTTACTTGTGGTGATCTTTTAATCTTTAATTTTTTGCCGGAACAAATCTCGTGGGTTTAGCGGATGCAACTCCGTTGCATTTATTTTTGTTCGAATAATGCCAGAAGCATTTAGTGGAAGCATTCAAGAAATTTGGTCTAACTGCATCTTAAGTCCTCGTGAACGTAACGCACACGCATGGAGCTCATACCGTATCAGATCATCCATTTCATTTATTATCTCGTTGTCAGAATGATTAACAATGAAAATGTAAAATTCGACGTTCCATGGTGCAAGTTTGGTTCTCCCTGCCCCAGATTGTGTTTCCTTCTTGCATGACTGACCTCATGACATTTCATGCTTCATCCACAGCCGACAGGGCCCCGAGCCGTCCTTCACCAGCGCATCACACGGCTGGGTGGGGTCCCTGCTCATCTTGGACTATCGCAGGTATCTCTCAGAACTGCGCTGAAAGAAAGGCATATCCCGTGCGAAATCACAGCAGGGCTGATCTGTGCACAGAGGCGGATGGGTTGCTAAGTGACCCGATAGGGTCGTATGGCGCTGGTCAGAGGTGTGCGGGGATTCGCGAATATAAAGGTACGAGAGCGGGGGGGGGGGGGCTGTGCATTTACAGCCAGCATTATGTATTTTTGGACTTTTTTAAGTCGGTTTGGCCATCAGAATGTCTTACATGATTTATTGTTGTTCTAATGACGCAAGGATTGATGTTTCAGAAATCAGCCATTTCCTTCCAGCACATGCCTAGCAAAGGAATCCAAGGAATATGTTTGCATTTTCTTCTTACCCTCTCCAAAACCTGAGATGTGGGGCTACCCCTCTGTTGCACTGGCGGAACTTCTGACCGTCCAAGGTGGCACGGCTCTGCCACAAGGAGAAGGACACATAATATTTGAGACGTGCCCCACCTGTCGACGTAACCCATGACTTTTGCGAAATTTAACTCTATACTCATGGCGTTGTATGGAAGCATCTAAAAGTCTGGATGTTCTCCGTGTTTTAACCTGTAACCAAATTTTCAGCACCGATGAAGAAATACATATGGTTCGGCGCGAGAGTTGTCATGCTCGTTACGTCGCGGTGATATGTCGTTCCTGCTGGATAAAAGCTTAAGCGGTTATATAAGTTTCTAAAACCAGTAATTCTTCTAGTTCCTTTCTTGTTTTCGACAGTTTAACCTCATGCATCAACCGACTTGACTTTGCACTAGCAAAGGGGTTCATGCGATGCGCGCCCGCATGTGAACGCGGTCAAAAGTCAGCGCCGAAATGGTGGTCACAACCCATTTTTGTCGCCTTCCTGTGATGGATCGTTTAGTAGCCCAAGCGAGTTATAGCCTGCAACGAAGCTTCTTGCCATTGCGAGCCACATAAATCGTGTGGATAAGGTCGCCTGGTCATGGCCGCGAACTCATGCTAAAACTATCGCACCCGTGATGTTAAAGCTCATAAAGCATGCCTTTCGTTTTTTCCGTTTCCGGGGACGCAACACGGCTATTTCTGGTACAATGGTGCTGAAATTTTCGCCCGATAATTTTGGGTCTGTAACGCATTGGAAGTCGTCCAAAAATGTCGCTACCATTGGGGGTGAAGGAGAGTTTTAACAGAACATAACGGACGCGTAAGACGGAAAGGATAAGTTTTGAAAAGCGTAACGTCGCGCTCGAATATGGCTGCAAATCATGCTAAAAAATTTTAAAGCAAATTAATGCCTAAAAGCCGGATATCCATGGCCTCCTCTTATGAAACGGCACACACCCTCAATTTGTGTCGCATCGTTAGCTCAATGAGTGCCCAAAAGGACGCCACTTTATTGGGACGTTATGCTTAGAGCAACCAGGGGAGTGGGGGAGGGACCGCCCAGCGTAACCAGAACGTAACCAGGGGAAAGGGAGATTTGAACGGTGGCCAGAAATGCGTAACGTTATGTGTAGACAGCCCTTTTAAGATACCTACGGCATCATTACCTGCATGCTATCTGTTTGTGCAATGTTCCTTAGATCATTCTGATTAGGTTATTATACAGATATCCCAGATTCGAGAACTTCGTCCTCATGCAGATGCAGATGCAGGGCAGTTACAAGTAGATTCAGGCCGTCGCAGTTTGCGAAATGCCGCAGGCAGTGAATTTTAGGCTTACGACGCAGTAACATTAAACGAATGACATCGGTATGATAGATACAGATATTTAGACATTCCTTGATATAACACGTGTGCTCCATGTTCCTTTGCTAGAGCCAAAATTTAGCGGTGATGGTGTAGTGTATGGCAAGGTGGCTCTGGGGAAAGAAAGCATGCCAAGTGGATCAGTTGAATATTCTGCACCGTTCTACGCATTTAGCTTTGAAAAAGCATGCACCGCGCTTCACCTCGTTAGTCGTTGATGGCATTGGACAAACTCTATCCAACAAATCAGCTCTGCTTCTAGAAGGTAGGGGAATTCATGAATGTGGTAAGCTCCAGCTTTAGCGGCTGAAATTACCAACGCTGGTTTTACTGCGCAGCTGTTTTTGGCCCGCCCCTGGCGGACTGATGCCACGCCCGCAATTTCCATTGCAATGCGAGGTCCTGCACCAAATGTTCACTGCTCGTGTCTATCTGCCGCGCATCTCCCGTTCCGCCGAAACTCTTACGTGTGTCGCTTCCGGACTGCGGCCGGACTGATTCCGATCGACAATGAACTGCGCGCCGAAATCGCCAGCATCCGCGCGTTCTGCAGTGACCCGTGCCGTGGTGACCAGCACGGCACAACATCCTGGTGGTGAAGGGGAGGGCACGGCGACAGGGCGCGGGCAGCCTGCGGAACTGGCACCGCCGGCCGCGACCAACGACACACGCCCCTCCCCCTCCCCCTCCCGGCCGGCCCGGGTTTTCCAGCGCGGCGCCGGGCGCCGGGCGCCGGGCCGGCGGGGCCCTCAGACAACAAGCAGAAGTGGAGCGATGACGACGTGCCGCTCCCTGACTCTGCTCGGTGCGCTGGCGCTGGTCGCCGTCGCCAGCACCGCCGCTTTGCCGGCGACAACGGCGGGTCAAGATCTCCCACCGAGGGTCGACGGCGCCGGGGCGACGGGAGCGAACGCCTCCGAGGCTCAGCAAGCGGAGCAGGAGGCGATGGAGGTCAGCGGCCGCGGAGCGCCGGTCGACGAGGTCCCGGCGGAGCGTGTCGAGGAGGTCCCGGCGGAGCGTGTCGAAGAGGTCCCGGCGGATGGCGTCGTGGTGGTGCCACCGGCTCCGGTGGCGGCCGTTTCGGTGGTGAATGTAGACGGCGTGCCGGAAGCTGTCAAGATCGCCACCAGCGCGGCCCTAGCGAGCGCGGCTGGGGAAGCGGCGCCCGACGCCAGCGCCCCGGACACGGTTGCGCTGAGAGAAGAACCGGCGCAGGCCGGCGCGTCCAAGACCGACATGAAGCGGCCAGCGGCTCAGGAAGCCACAGCTGGGCAAGGCGTCGGCAATGTGACGGTCGTCATGCAGACATCGTCAGTGGACAACAGCGCCGAGCTGAATGGTAGGTCTGGTGGATCCCATAGAGCTTAAAACTGGCCGATATATCACGGTGACTTACGCCTACTAAGCCGGGGTTTTCCGCTGTCGTCCCGTGGGGGATCATGGAGAGGTAACTTGGAGTGGAGCTAATCCTTTGCTGGCAGGGCACTGATCAGTGCGACAAGCCCCCTCACGTGGCGCATCTAGTATGAAACTAATCCTTTGCTGGCAAGGTATCCATCAGCTTCACGAGCCCCCTCACAGGCCCTCATCCTTTCTGAATACGTCCGTTTGGCTGCGATAACTGTTGGCAATGCGTGATTCACTGACCACATGTCGAGCACTGTTTCTGGGAAAGCACAGGCAAAACTTGACGGTGTGCTGACGCGGGCAGGCGTTTGCAAGATGCGTCCGCAACCCACGCCATGTTTTTTCAGCCATGCCGCACTGAGTTGGCCGAGGACGGCGAAGACTTTCCGTGTGCCGGCTATTGTTCGCTCTATTTTACCCGGCTTCTGATGGCTGTCGATACCATGTCGCGATACGGAGTCCTGTCGCGCTATGCTGTGGGGCCGTAGGCAGGCTGCACCGAAGGCAGGCTTTATCTGTGTGGCGCCCTGTGAGTAGCTGAACATCGTATTATCTGCCAGTTCCGTCCCAGGCGCGGCGGCGCATCGCTGGCGTGACGTCGTGGCTTGGTGGTGGCGACACCTTCCGTCAACCATGACAGAAATGATCGAATGTCTCCGCAGCAGAGGAGCTCGTGCAGTCTGTCCGCTCAAGTCATGCCCCGATTCCAAAAACATACGGAATGGATTGCACGATGCGCGTTCCGACTAGAGCTGGCGCGGTGCCAGTGGGTATGGGCCCCATGCATTCTTCACGTCAGCCGTTACGCCCAGGGTTGCCTGGTTATTTTCGAGCCGACAGGTGCTAGCAGACTGTGCTGGCAACGCTCACGCGCACATACAGGTCGTCGTTTCACCATAGTCAATAATCCTACGTGGGTCTGAGCAGCAGCATCAGTCGCGCTAGTACAGCAGAAACCGCTGGCAGATCGCTGATGGACGGCTTTCGGCGCTCAAGTCTGGATTAATCTCGACACTGACTGATAGAACTGAACTAGAAGACAACACTAGAGCGTTTTACAGTGGTTTAAATCCGCGGATTGTGGTTGTGTCCACGAATCGGATTGGAGAACACCAGGAACGTGTCTCAGAAGTGGATGGGTACCGAATCGGATTGAAAATTACGATTTTGTATGGATGGAATGAACTTAAGTCACCCAAACTACAAAACTGTTTATTGTTCCCTCGAGTTTCACATGCAGATATTGTTGAGGAATGAACGATAGGTTCACAACAGACCTCATACCTTGCAGTGTGCAAACATGTTGCATAATTCATCCACGTATGGCAATGGCAAAATTTCAAATGAATAGATAGCAGACAGATTGGTACAACAGATTGGTACTATCTGCAACGGATTGGTACAACAAATTGGTATCAATTAACTACAAATTTGTTCTGGAGATGAGTACATAATCAACAGCCAGGATTCAGATCAGCCAAGAAATCCTATGAATGATGTTGAATGCATCCAGAAATAATGCGAACACAAATCTCTCCTTAACCACGGCAGATATTGGCTTGCATTTTCAAGGAGTCAGCTCTGGCGCTTACCGGAGCAGGCCCGCAAGCGGACCTGTTGATAACAGCTAGTAACAAAGTGTGTGGCTGATTTAGAAAGTCAAAGCTTTACTTCCTAGTAAGGTAACTAAGCGTTATAATCATAAATCCATCCGTCTAACTGAAGTATAGGCATCATTCTTCATCATGTTGTCAGCAATGTTATTTCGCGTCAGCAAGCAACGTTGCATTCATCGAGTTACGTAAATCACTTGATGCCTGCTTGATAGTAGCCAATGTATGCATCCTGCAAAAATTAACGAGCCTTACTAACTATGTGGGCACCCACAGATCGATGACAGCGAAGTGCTCAATGTTATCGATGGAAACTACTGAGTAAAAAAAGTTACGTTGGATAATTTCGCTGTGAGGTTGTGACGACAAGACTCTACCAGTGCTTTAATTCATGACATTAGAAATTAATGTAACCTGAAATGCTGCGTAATCACGCTTTGGAACAAACTTACACGTAACCAATAAACAGCTTTCGAAATTTAAACCAGGTTTGACCTATGACATTTGAAGCTAATGCGAATCCAACACGTATGTTGTCACACTTTGATTAGCAAAGCAGTCAGTTTATTTGTGCATATTTCTTGTTCCGTGATCACGTTGCTGTCATTGTGTGGGAAATCACACACTGTTCTTGTTCTTACGTCAATTTTTGTCTTTCTATATTCGTATAACTTTTCCGAGACCTTTAATTAAAATACATGTCATCCGGTCGTGCAATTTCAGTTCAGCGACAGAACTTCGGTTCGAAATTTCAACGTGCGCTAAAATGCCCCGCGCGTCCCGCCGGGCCAGTCGGACCTCATGTGTCATGCGTCCTTGAACGACCGCCGGTTCCGAGCGCGGACGCTCCAAACTCCCAATAGCTGGCGCCGAACCAACTCAAACCCAGCCACCCCGCCGCGCGTGAGATTCAGGACGGACGCTCTAACCAATAGAGCTGCCTGGCGGACTCTGGCGCAGGATTCCATCGCGTGCAGCGCTGCCTGTGCTTTAACAACAAGCATGTACGGCTGTTTGTGCGTTGCGTCCTTGGCGCTGCCGCGCTGCGATCTGCTTCCTGCGGCGCGCTCGCTCCTGTCAGCACGTCGGCGGGCCATGGACCCGGCTCCGGATCCCGGCTGAGGTCGCGATTGTGTGCTGTCAATGCCCTGCAATCCGTGCCGCAGCGCGCGCCGACACGATTGCAGGTGTGGCTCGCTTCGCTGTAGGTGAAACGGAAACGACACCAGTCCGCTTCAGGTACCGCTGGGTTCGATGCATGGGAACCGGAAACGGCGTCGGTCCACTCTGTCGTTACGCGATGCGAAACGGGATGCTGTGGCCACAGCATGATGGGTTCCATGCTGTGGTCACGTTTGTCTTGTGCAAAGTAGTATTGCATGGTCCCGTGCATGAGGGGCGTATCAGGAGTAGATCAAAGCAGTGAATGCAAGATGGATGAAAACCACGGCACGTGAAATCCGTGATGACAGTCTGGCATGCAGATAATGAAGGAAGGGTATGAAAATACGGAGCTTTGTGTCATGAGTGTCATGAACTGAGGAGGCGGTTGGGGAGAGGTCAGAAGCTTTGAGAGGAGCGGTCGGAAGGTAAATCCTTAACTCGCCGTCAAATTAGCCCACAATGTATTTCGTTGCGCAAAAATAAGTCTAGGTTGTGGTAACCCTCGCCTGGCGAGGGATTCTCAGAGGACCTAAAATTTTCCGGAATAGCTCCTGAACTCTTTTGGGCATGGCCCTGACATTTTGGGCAGCTGGTCCTACATAACTTTGCCACATGTTGTGAACATTTGAGCTCCCTGATCTTGACGGCTCATCATCTTAATCTCTTTTGAGGTCATGTTGGTAACATTTTGCTCATAAGTGGCAGATGACGCTATTTCCTCGCAGTCAGTACACCGCAAGGGAGTTTTCTAGACTTTTTCACTAAAAAGGGCATTTCTACCGTTTTAACTGTTTTTGCAAGTTAAGGTCAACGAAGGTCAATCAAGGTTAATATTTGGTGTATATGAACATGCCGGATCCTTTGATCATACTAGATCATACGGGTTAATTCTCTTAATGGCACGTATTTTGCAGGTTTGACAAAGCATCATTAACATTTTCTCACCATTGCTGAGGTTTGTTTAGCTCTTGATGTGGCCGTGTAAGCCAATGTAACAAACGCCCTCACCCGTTTGACCTGACATGACATATCACGGCTTGCGTATATTGATAGTTACTATTGTCCATAAGAAATAATTTTCCATAAGCCGCTGAACGCCATTTTTGGCACTGTCGTAGTATGCTTATTTCTTGGGATAGCGGGAGTCATTACAGTGTTTATTTGACACATGTGACATGATTTGGTGGTCAAAAATCATGTTTACTTTTGTTAAGTTGCGTCTGCCTGATGCAGTCTGTCAAGAGCCGCTTTCCATGCCGTTTTCCCGTTGCTCTAGCCTGCTTGGTTTTTGAGGTCGTGGAGGGCCTCTGAAGGTCCTTCCATGACCTCTGAGGCCCCTTCAGACGACGCGTGGAGACGTGAATGCTCACCAAAAATACCGTCAAAACGCAAGTGCACAGGCATCTGTGGCATACTCCCGTGATTCCGACTGTCCGTTCTTCCTGCGAGGGGGAGTTTTCTCTGTACGCGCTAATAATCCTGAAAAAAATCGGTTTAGCTTGGGCCCTGTAAGAGACTGGCATGCGGCATTGGTACTGTCAGTGTGACGTTCTGGCTCGCAGCGTTGCGCTCAAACAAAAGCTCAGGAGTGGCAAATTTCATATGTTCGGAATTGATTGTGGCCCAAAAGCTCTTTGTTTAATTGAAATGTCTTGCGCGTGACTGGAAAAATAACATTAGGACACTCTTGGGCATGCCCACCGTCACTTCTCTCAAACAACTGCTGAGAGACGAAATGGTTGATCGAAGTGGCTTCCAGCTCACAACGCACGCACGTGGCGTCTGAAAAATGGTGTGTATTGTGTTGTTTTCTGCAGAAAAGGTCAGCTATAATAGACAACTGGGTACGACTGGCACTGACCAATTTGTCACAGCAATGCAGTTTACTTTACGCGCTGTTGTATTTTATGTTGTGTGAGTGCTGTATCTGTATTTGCGTGTTGCATAAATACAAATATACGAATGCATTTATATTTGTATTTGTATTACAATTTATGAGTATTGTATTTGTATATGATTTCTGACTATTGTATTGTATTTATCAGTGTTGTATTTTACAAAAGTTGCCCTGACGGGATGTTTGCCAATGACCTGTTGTGTCACCCTATCGTGCGCTTAACCACAGCAGGCACATAGTTCAATGCGAAAACGTTTGAAAGAAATCCAAACCACTAACGTAACTGCATGTCTGTTACTGAAACCGCGCTTCTGCACAAGCAGTCGCGAAGTGCACCCTATCCAACGGCCTGACCCAGGCTGCAATAGATGTTCTTTAGTGAAATTGATCACATGATTGTTGCTGACAGGGTGTTGAACACATCTGGATCGGCCGAGGAGCTATTTCAGTAAATCGGCGGCGGATACTCCTATCCCCTACCCCTACCCTTCTCCTCCCGGTCTATCGACACAATTCATCTTGACTTTTAAAGATCTGAGCCGCAATTTTGAGTGCAAACAGAAGTATCTTCTCAGGCAAGAGCAATTCCTACAATTAAGAGTTAGGGCTTTTGTACTCGTGTTTAAATGACTCTGTGACACGGTGGCTTGTTCAGTAATTTACTTTCGCAGCGCTAGCACCACACAGCGGTACAAGTCTGTGGTTACCCATGGGAACCTGCGTCTTCTGTGGGGTTTAGTGCTGCTACTTGCTACTTGCGCCACCATAGGCGCTGTTCTAAAGCAAACGCTTTCCATAAATATTGGTGGGTGGAGAGTGGATGGTGGTAAAAGGACGAGAAAAATGTGATGAAGTGAATAATATGATGAAGGATAATAAATGAAGAGTACAAATAAATGAAAAGCTCCGCGCCTATCTACGCATTCACTTCAACATAGTTTACAGTGAGGCTCATCCTAATTGTTATGATATATATATATATATATATATATATATATATATATATATATATATATATACGGTGCAGTGCTCCAATCTTCACGCGTGTCACCGTACTCAGCATACTCATCAGTTGCATCTGGTGTATGCATTAATATACTAGCTTGCCGTAGTCACTGCGTATTCGTCGAGTGGAAAGCATCCAGATATAATCATGCACATGTGCTGTGCGGGCATTGCCCGGTATGTTGGCCACCATTATCACCCAGTGAAATAGTTTTTTTGCTGTAACTGTTCACTGTGTGCGCGGAACGCTCGTACTTGCATGGACTGATCACCATTCCCCAACGGTTTTGGGGGCATATGAGTCTTGTCCTGATCTTTCACGGATATCATGACCGCCGAAGTAAGGAACTACCTCTGTTTCGTAAGCGCCGTCTCGCCGTCTGACCTCTTCCCTCGCTTTGCTGCAGCGCGTCGGATGCCGGTGGCAGCGCCCGTCTGCGCCGCCATCTTGGATCGCCTGGCCTACGACTCGTTCCGGCGACAGCACCACGCGTCGTGGACGATGTGCCGCTGCCTGAACCGAGCGCAGGCCGTCTGTCGACCGGAGACCCAGTACCCGACCGTGAGGCCCGGCTCAGCCTCGGCCGTGCTGGGCCTCGAGCACGCGGGCGCCGTCTCCTCGGCGCAGGCCCAGGCGGAAGCCGCCGCTAACCTGTTCGCCATGCGTCACTCGTGCGGACAGCAGGTGCAGGCCGGCCGCATCTGCTTCTTCAGCATCTGGCGCGGCCAGCCGACCTGCGACTGCGCTGAGCGACTGGCGCTGCAGGCCCTGGAGGCCGGGGTCGTAACCCGGCGCGCCCGGCCGGCGGCGGGGGCGCAGAACTCGCCAGGAGAGACGCAGGAGGCCGTGCCGCCGCTGGAGACGCAGCGGGAGGCTGAACACGCCGCCCCACCCGTGCAGGCCCGCAATTTCAACGACGTCCAGGAGTTCATGCGCTTCTGAGAATTCCTCTCTGCATAGCGAGTATCATGCAGCTGCCTGAGACCAGTGTCTTGAGCTGTGTCTGAAATAGTCTAGTGCCTGAAATGGCCGCGAGAGATTCTTCGCATATCTGGATATCTATACCACTTATTCCGTTGGAATTGTGCTCACGACAGAGCCTATAAGCGGCGCGAGATCAGCGAGCCCGAACTGGCGCAATCGGAACGCCTGAAGGCATTGGCAGCAGCGGGCGGGGCGTTCTCCGCTGTGGAGGTTTTCGCATGACGTGACCCGATCGCCCGAAGCGGCGGGTCCTTGCGTCATCACGGGCACAGGGCTGCCGAACAAGAGACACCAACCGAGTCGTGGGAGTTGTTTTCAAGAGCTGTTTTCATGTAGCAGGCCGTGTTTTGACTGTGCGCGTATGGTTCCAGAAAGGCGCAACCAAGTTAAGTGTGAAATATATTTTTAGAAATGTGTCCTCGGAAGGTCAAAAGCCGTATTTGAAAGCGCGTTTGGTCCACTGTTATCTGATGTTTTCAAATCAAGTGCACGATTCCTATAATTCAAAATGTTCATCTAGATCACATAGCTGGGTTCCAACTACGTTCCACAGAAGACCATCTTCAACCAAGTTAGTTTCACAGATGCGCTTTTTGTCAAACAGCATAATAGTCCATATAGCTCACCCCGATCGAAGCAGACAGCCGCAAACCATCACTAAGACACCCAATTCGTCACAACCACACTGAGAGCGGCGTGATGCGCTCGAGATTAACACAGGTGTGAAGGCTCGCGCCCATATTTACAACGCCTCCAGCGCGGAGAGTTCAGGCGCTCGTTGCGGTAGAAGGCTGTACGCGCTATTTTGTAGAAGCGACACTGAGCAGCCCATGTAGCTACGCACAGCTTATAGTGAATGCCGTGCAGGCATTGTGAAGTTTGTGAGAAATACTGGTGGCAGTTTGTGGCAAGTGCTTTCGGTTTGTTCAAGGCGTTATTGCTAGTGTTGCGGATGGTTTGCACAGCTGTGACCATGCATTGTGGATTTGAAAATAAATATCGCCTTTTAGCAATGTTTTGCTTCCCATAATATCGATGCCCATTGTGATGGCTTTTCGAACAGTTATTTGGCCGATTCTTTTAGTTTTTTTCTTAAGAGTCAGTTTCGCGAACTGGGACTATCCCTTAAAGCATTATGCTGGAGAGTACATTAGAACCCGGTTTGTCGCAATGCCACGCTCAGCATGCTCCGCTGTCACCATGTGCGCGCCTCATCAACAGTAAAAGAAAAGCTGGGCAAGTAGCAAAAGTACGTAAAGGCACACGCTTCATACGAATTCTGTGCGTAAGGCCCGGTGAGGACACCTGACACACCGGGCCTGAAAGTGCATCCAAGGGACGAACAGGGACGTGCAGGGACGAACAGCGTACAGAAACGTGGGGGAGAGACCACGCAATGCATGCATGAATACCCAGCGCCGTTGATGCACCACTCAGAAGGTTTTGCAGCGCCCTGAACACTTAAAAAAACGCGTGCACATTAGAGTCGCAGTTTTTCCGGCTTCAGCCCCGCCCTGGCTGCAGATAAACCGGCCCAGCTCCGGCTCCAGAAACGACATCCAAACCACTAGGTACCGTAGAGGCACGGAAGAATGTAAAACAAGCATGGCATAATACTGTACAAAGTTTTCTTACATGTTAGGCCAGTCGATCTAGCAAATGTACTCCTTTGTTTCAAATGCGATCAGAAAATGTCAAGTTATAAAGAAATGATACTTTCACGCCTATTGGTATAAAACGCAGGCCATCAGGGTACAAAAAACTAAGACAAACTTCCGAGAACGATGGCTCTTCTTAGTCTGAAATGCAACTTGCTAATTTAGATGTTTTCTTACTACAAATTGCAATTCAAGTACTGATGTAGGCCGTGATACATTCTACTCACAATGGCACACAACAGTTACTGGAAAAAAGAGGGAAATGAGCCCACACCAAAGCTTTTGGGTTAGGGTTGCCCTGTATCCTAGGGGCTTTCACGGATCGGGTGAACCTACGTGTACCCGGTTTGAACAGGTAACGGGCCGGGTTTGCTACCGATCTTCGGAAAATTCCGTGTATGGGTGTGGGCAAACAAATCAAACTATTGCCAGGTGCCAGGGATGTCAAATTTGTAAATGGGGGGGGGGGGGAGGGGGCTGAGCCCGGGGCCTAACCTCTTCCCACTTTTTGTCATAAGATTTAGCTCACTTTGTGTTGACATGTGAAAGTTTATCATGTAAACTGCTATATCATTAAATAAATCGGTTTTGATTTAAGCTGCACAACACTTCTGCAGGGACGGATCCAGGGGGCGGGGATGGGCACTGGAGGTGCGTGCCCATCACTATTCTCTCCAAAGGGATTGGTCTACATTTTAGGTTACTGAAGCAGGTATCAGACATGATTAAAGAACCTCATTTGCAACTACTGGATACTTTTAAGTGGCAAAAACTACTCTGGACAACGCAGTGTTTCTGCGCATCAGACATACTCCTCAACACGTCATTGTTTGAGTACCTCGTCGTAACTTCCACATTGACTGAGAGCCAATTGTCAATAAAAAGAGGGCCAAAAGCCAATATCTGCCAATTGGCGGCCGTTATGTTTTGAAATTGTGCTTACGAACGTCAAACGTGAACGGCTCGACAATTCATATTTTATTGGCCTTGATCGCCTGTGGCCAATGAAATGGCAAGATTTGAGTGACGTTTTACCGTAATGGATGGCCGAGCGACCTTGAAAAAAGCCTCTCCGACAACGGCTTCATATCTTCGTGAGCGGGTAGCTTAGCAACTAGAGGGATTTAGCTCTTAAGAAGGGTAGGGTTGTGCACTGCACCGAATGATCCTTAAGATGGCTATTTCAATTAAAAACCACATACAAATGTGAAACACTTCTTTTAATGGATTTTTATTCCCGTACGAAGTTTAGGGTCAAGCAACTGGGACAAATTACAGAGTCTACTCCAATCTTATTTGTCGACCTCGGATTTAAGTTGCAAAGCCTTCTGTGTATAATGCTGTTGCTGTATTTGAGCTGCGTGAATTTTTGTGTGGATCTCAAGTGGCGTACGAAAATTTTTGTCTGAATTTGACGCATCACTTTTTTAGTTGACTATGCCATGGCATCAATAATTGCAACCAACAGCATAACCTTTATCAAAATTACTCAACAAAACTCAGCTGTGTGCAACAGCTCATAATCACCGATTCACGTAGGCCGGTAGTCGTGTGGGATTGCAGCTAAAGCAACTGTTTCAAGTCAGTACAAAGAAATATGTCGTAAACATAGCGGCGAGGATGTCTTTGTCGTAACAGTGGGGTAGAAAATGCACGTGCTATTTAAAGGACCACCGCATGCATGCTTAATATTCCATTCTTGTTGCGGTGCCAGGAGTGAGCGTGAATTTTTGTTGTGTGGATGTGGTCTATGCAAAACTATGCACGTTATGTAGCCATTTTGCTATCATGTGGGCCAGTTTTTCATCAGCATAACTAGGTGATAAATGACCAGTCTATGAAACAGAATTGATTTAAATGCGTAAGATTGCGCGCTATTTAATGGCGTCATTGTCTACTGCGCACAGTGAACGGTTTAGGTTCCTGAAATGGTGGAAGAATGTAGCCACAGACCTATTTTAAAACACCTTGGTTGCGCGATGCCAAAAAAAACCATAGTTTCGCTTAGTATTGTTGCGAAATCGTAAGGCTGTCAAAATAATGTTACTATCCCCATAAATCGTGTCATGCATTTATCTGAGTTTAAGCGCGACTCCCTGTTATATCACAGGTGATATCTTTTGACAAAAATGGTTGGTGAAGAGGTAAGCTACAGACATCGCTTTTCTACGAGCCCGTTGGATGCAATGCATAAAATGTTCGCAAAAAGAGCCTGTGTTGCCGTACAGAGACACCAACCGTCGTATCGAAGCCCGACTTCTGTAGAGTGATTAAGTTGTACTGACCGCATTCGTGATATGGCGAAACGTGCAGTGGTAGGTCCGCCTTCCAGAATAAGTGTTCATATATGGCTCACCGGCGAGAGCCATTTAGCCGTTGGCTTGATGGCATCGGCCTGGCTACAGGATAGCCGACAGTCGTGTAGCCGCATGCCAAGGTAAGTGTTCTTTCTTGCAATTTGGATATGGGACCGAGGCAAAATGGATCTGTTGAAGGTGTTTTACATCAGCGGAATGGTGGGTTAAGCGTGCTAGCGATAAACTGTACTCAACACGGAATCTGATGAAAAATCTATACTCGGAAGATTTTCATTTCCGTATAGTTCCTCGTTTTGTAAGTGAACTGGAACCGTAGTCTGTACTACTAGTGCGACGCCAAACAAAAAATCGTTCTCCAATTTTGTTGCATTACGAGATCTTACAAAAAAAAGACCAGTGTCGTCAATATCACGCTTAGTTGCGGGAAAAAGACGTCTTGGCTTACATGTGACGACAGACAGTCAAGGTTAGAATAGTTTAGTCCATGTCTAAAGTTACCTCCCAATTGGAGACTTAACATTGAGGCTGATGCATTAAGTTACCCATTGTGCCCTTCACAGCGACAACATTGCGATTGAGGATTGCAGAAGATTGCCTTTGGGAAATGGTAAGCCCTTTCCCACGTTTTTATAATACTTCAACCCAAAATATTTGGGAGGGGAGGGGGCTGAAACTAACACTGGCGGGTTGTCAGCATTGCGCGAGGTCAGGGCTTTCACAAACGAATACAAATCGACACCCATACTGGGTGTGCATGCCAGACGACGAAAGCACAGTTGTGCTTGTACATATCAAATACTGTATCAAGAACTGAAAAGCTACATGTAACAGCGTAACACTTGCAAAAACAGGCGTATCAAAGAAATCGAACCATACGCATTTTAGCTAAATATTTTGGTTTATTCAACCAAATGTGTTCACATCACGCCAGGAGGTTGGGTCAAGTTGAACTGCCGTCTGAGTGCGTGGTAATGTCAGCTAAAACTTGTCTGTTGGGAATGGAGCTATTTGGTCGTCAGGCCAAACCAGGTATCATATGCAGGTTTTATCAATCAAAGTGTAACTGGCACGGCGCGGTAATGATCATGACATTTATTTTAATTTACATCGGCAGCGGTTTTTATTGCGTGCCATTTCCAAGCGGCGCATTTGCGAACTTTACACATGAGCGTTCTATGCCTTGAACGTACATTTGCGTAGCCATAATCTGGAAAGGAAAGGATATCGACCATGGCACATCAGGTTGCAAAGGTTTTGTTTTTGGTGACTTGACCTAACCCAAAGTCACTATGTTCTGCAAGGGCTAGGATGTTGACTATGACACATCGATTGATGAATGTTTTGTGCCGATCGGTTCCATAGGCTCGGAGTATGAGGTTGCCTGTGAAACTATCTTTCCGGTTTTTTTTAAAGATTTTGGCGATCTTTGACCCGATTCAAGGTTACCATGTTTTGGACCGGATGGGTTATCGGTCATGGCGCATTGATTGGTAGAGGCTTCGTCACGATCAGTCTCGTAAGCTCGGAGCTTAGGGCTGTCGGTAAATAATTTCGGGTAGTATTGACCGTTTTTGGAGACCTTTGGCTTGACTCCAGGTCACCATATTCTGGAAGCTGAAGTTTACCGGCCATTGCATATCGATTTGCCAAGGTTTTGTGCCGATCATTTCCATAGGCTCGAAGCATGTGGTTGTTTGCGAACAAAATTGTTACGGTATTTTGAATTTTTGCTAACGTTTGACGTGGCCCAAGGTTACTGGGTCCTGGAACGGATGAAATGTCGACCAAGTGGCATCGAATGGTGAAGGTTTGGTGTTGATCGGTGCCATAGACTCGGAGCATCTGGTTGTCAACAGTTTTTGCTAGCCGTTTGCCACCTCACTGCATTCCAAACCAGCAGATTGAATAGGCTCAACTAGGCATATTTGTTTCCAGGTTGCTAGATACTTTTTTCCTAGAGTTCTGTAGATATGTGGTGGCATCTTGCGGTTTAGAACTTGACCAAGTTCGCTCGAGCCTCGGCGGACAGGACG